ACCCTTCTTCCCCCCGGGGTGCTGCTTCAACAGCCACAGCATGACAATCCCAGCCAGTCACACCCATTCAATCCAATGGAGCTGAACATCGAGGCTTTCTCATGATTTCCTCACCCCATCACCCCCCCCCAACACAAGACTCACCGACGTCACGGTCGGCGGTGGTGTTGGAGTAGGAAAAGCCGACGAAGGCGGGGGCCTCCACAAAGAGGACGTTGGCCTTGGTATTCCAGGAATAGTCGTTGGCCTGTAGGTTGCCGCGCGTGGTGGGGAAGAAGGGTCCCAGCTCCGACATGAAGCCTCCCGCCAGCGAGGAGCAGCCCGGACCCCTGCCATCCCGGGTGGCCCAGTGGAGGAGCGCTGCGGCTTGGACACCAGGCACACCTGGACGGACATGCACCAGATGCCACGGGTCCAGAAGTTGACCCAGGTTTCACCCCACACCCACGCACCCATTCAGCCAGAGCACCAGCGGGTCGGCGGCAGGGTCGTCCTGAGACTCCACAAACACATAGAAGAGGCTGCGGCCAGCCTCTGCGTCCACCGTGATGTACCTGCGAACGGCAAGGGGAACGCATGTGAGATCAAGTGTGCTTCAACACCGCCTGGAAGGTGAGCGCTCCTGGCAAATGGTCCGGATCCACCATGGGTCGACAGGCTGTGGCTTGGGGTGGGGCCATCATGCGGAGGACCCTGCCCCCACCTCACCCGGAGTAGATGTCGAACTCATCATCCTGCAGGTTTCCCCATCCAGGGAGACTAGACACCTTATCAGCAGCGGCCTCCTTGGTGAGATGATTCTTCGTGGCGCGTGATCGCAGGAAAAACGGAGCATCTCCGGAACTGATCCCCTGGACACACGAGGCGAGAGCACAGACCGCAAGGGCCACCCACAATTTGTGCATCTTGCCACAAGCCTTCAGAGTATTGTGAGGGGTGGATCGTGCGACCCTGTGCCTCGCACCGATGTAATGGATGTGTGGACTGGCAAATCGCGTCGTCCAGGGTTTCTCCATTTCCCATGTCTCCTGCATCACTGATCCAAAATCTTGTGCAAGGCCTCCGGCCAGTGAGCGATTTGCAACAGAGCGAGGAAGAGGAGTATGATGCAGCAGCGTAGGTGGCTCTCCTTTCAGCACTCCTTGTCATCGCTTGTCCTTCTTGTGTTTCTTATCCTTCTTGTCCTTCTTGTCCGACTTGTCCTTCTTGTGCTTCTTATCCCGCTTGCCATGCTGCAAGGGTACAGGGTGGGTGAATGAGAAATTGCAAAGTCATCATTGCTTCAATCGCTAGCCCACGCCATTCAATTCAGGAAATGCCCAGGTCTCGGCCTGCCTACCTTGCCACCAAGCCGTTCCAACACCGCCAGTGCGTCTTCTATACTGGATATGCCGCCGCCTTCCCTTGGTGTGGATGTGGATGGCGCACTTCCAGGGACCTTGCTCTCTCCTGTCATCCAGGCGGGAAGGACGTTGCCCCTACCTCGTCCCCTGCAAAGTGAGGGCATGGGGAGGAGGGAGAACTCGGGTGAAGCACAGCATGCCCAGCAGCGACCGGGCGACCCATGGATGCACACATCGACGTCTGCACAGTGTTGTGCCGATTGGAGATAGCGATGGCACTGTCCCGAGTATTGCTGCTGAGGCGCCGCATGTGAGACGTGTCTCTGAATCGGGCTCGACGCCATGGCTCGAGCGAGGGTCCCAGCCGGTCGACCGGGGCGGTCCCGCTCCACGAAGGCCGGTGCGCCCACCCACTCCCCGCTGGACTGGCTGGATGACTACGAAGCTGTCAGCGCCTGGATGGCGCGGCATGACCTGCATGCCGCGCTGGAGGCTGGGGACGGGCTCGCCTGGGTCCCCGACTTCCTGCCCGGTGCAGTGGCTGAGGCTGCGCTGGCCTGCCTGGAGGCCATTCCCCCCTCCGCCTGGAACGCCACGGCGGCTGTCGAGGACGCAGGCGCCAACAATATTGCCCACGAGTTCTGGTCCACCAAGTCGGCGCCGGGGACGGCCCTGGCCCAGCTCCTGCGCGCCTTCCCCCTGCTCTCCCCGCGCCACGACTTCACCGCCTTTTCCGCCGCCCGCTACGACGCCCGCCACCACATCGCGCCGCACGACGACCGAGCCTACACCCCCGTGCTCTGCGACGATGGTGGGTGGAGGCGTGGGTTGGGGGTGAGTGTCGGTGGCACAAGGGTGAGGTAGGGCAGGGATAGTCCAGGCAGGCACCGGCCGTCTGCTGTTCAGCGCGCACCTCCTGCACCTGCTACACTCCCAAAATGCACCCCAAACGCACACAAAACACGCCTCCAGGGGCAATCGTGCAGTGCTCGCGCGACATCGCGGTCGTGTACTACCTTACCCGCAACTGGAGGCCGGAGTTCGGCGGCGCCTTTGTGGACATCGCCGGCGGCGGCAGGGAGTACTGCCCCGCCTTCAACACGGCGGTCGCCTTCACCATCCCACGCTGGCACGCGGTGACGGCAGTGGTGGGGCCCAGGCCGCGCTTCTCCGTCTTCGGCTGGTTCCTGGTGCCCGGGATCGCCTACCCCCTGGGGGACGGCGAGCGCGACGCAGCGGCGGGCAAGGGGCCGGCCCCCGAGCGGTGGTTGGAGGAGGGCGAGGTGGGCCGTTTGCCGCAGCGCTGCAAGCTAGGCCGGCGGCTTCTCCGACTGGAGTCCCGTGGGCTGAGCTAGCCGGCTGCCCAGGGCACGGCTGAGTCGGGCCGGCGCCCAGCTGCTGGTTGCTGGCATGGACTTTCCAGTGGAAGGCCCGAGGCATGGATCGCGGCCGCCATGGCAGCTGGAGGCACGCCACCCCTTGCGCATGCCAGCGCTGAGCCCGCCACTCGCCACCTCCACCCACTCCAGTATCCCCCCCCTCCTTCCTTCGGCCTCCCCCCCAACCCCTGCATCAACTGCGCACCTGGGCGCCAAGGCAGCTGCTCCGTTGCTCCCGCTGCCCGGAGCCACAGGTCCATCTTGGCCAGCCCGCGCCGGGCCCGCTGCCGAGGCCCTCACTCCCTCGCCGCGCGGCAAAGGCCTCTCCTCCTCGCGGACCATGTCGTAGCGCTTGTCCTGCCCGCCGTACTGCACCACGTCTGCCCCCAGGTGGCCCCAGTCCACCACAGCGTCGTGCGTCGTCGCCGCGGCCGCCCCAATGGGGGCCTTGCCCTGGGGAATACAGCGGAGGGAAGGGCACCTGAGGTGCAGCACTGGCTTGCCCACGCACCAGATGGAGAGGGGGAGGGGAGAGCACACTGTGGAGCGCTGTGCACCCCCCAGGCATGCAGCTGAGGCTCCCCGTCCTGCCCTGCCTTGCTGCTGCACCAGCGCATGTTATAAGCCCACACCATGCCAGGTCAGGCCACAGGGGCTGGGCAGCTCGCGGGGCGGGCGGGAACAGAGAGATACCCCGCACCCGTGCAGGGCGACACTCGAAAAGAGAGGGTCGTCCACGCCCCGCCCTGCCCTCAAGGTCAGCACGCCATCCCCGCTCCCTGTGGCGACGAGCAACCCCCCATTACCCCCCCCCCAAGTTCCCACTCAGCACCGCACACCTGCATGGGCCCGCCCCCGGCGCCCCTAGGCTTGTACTTGAGGCCGTTGGGGTCCAGGTCGGTGCCGTCCCGCTGGGAGACGAGCTTGATGCTGGCGGAGACGCGGGGTCCACGCTCGTCCTCGCCCACCTCCACGATCTTGACCCACACGGCCTCGCCCACGGCCAGCACCTCGCCCATCTCCCTGACCTTGTCCTCATCGGTGTCCTCCTTTCCGAAGAACAGGTGGTCGCTGATCTGCGGGGGTGCAGGACGTGGTGCTGGGACAGGGGGTTGGTCGGAAGTGAGTGGCAGCGGTGCTGGGCCGGCCAGGTTCGCCCTCCAGAAGCATGGGTGGAGTGGTGCCCTGCGCCTCTTGCCTCGGCACGCGCCACCCTGGGGTGCTGACTTTGTGGACCCCGCCCCCAACACAGCATCTGCTTCGGCTCCTGAACACTCCCCTCCCGGCTCGGCACCGTGCCGCCCTCCATGACCAGAGAGCCCAACTCCAACCCCCTGGGCTCCCCGCCTCACCTGGGAGGAGTGGACGAGGGCGTACTTGCGGAACCCCTCCAGCTGCACAAACACGCCAAAGGGGCGGATGGACTGCACCGTGCCGCGGTGGACGCTGTCCAGCTCGGGGGGCAGGTCGCTTTGCGGCGCGCCCCCCTGCCCGCCACCGCCGGTGCCGCCGCCGCCCGGGACGGAGAGCAGGCGTCCCTCGGGGTCCAGGTCCGTGCCGTCCTCCTGGGACACCGCCCGCGTGCTGCAGGACAGCCGGGTCTGGCCGGGGGCGGGTCCGGGCGCGTGCGCCAGGACCTTGACCCAGACCCGCTCGCCCGGCGGGAGGAAGAACTCCATGGCGTGCACGCGCGCTGCATCGTCGTCCTCGCGTGTGAAGCGCACATCCTCCGCCACCTGGGTATGGTGCACCAGACCCTGCCGTCGGAAGCCGTCCAGCTCCACAAATGCGCCAAAGGGGCGCACCGACACCACCCGGGCATGGTGGATGCTGGAGACGGGGGGGATTTCTTCGTGCTGGGGCAAGCCGGAACCGCCACGGCCCTGGTGCCGGCCGTAGGCTCGGTCTGAGGCAGGATAGGGGGAGCATAGTTGTGGTGCTGAAGGGGAGGGGAGGGCACAGCCCGCAATCAGAGGCAGGGACATTCTACAGCCAACGTGGCCCGTTGAGCCTCGTGATCCGGCGGCAATATGATCGTATCGACTATCACTGTAGGATAACACCCAAAATCTATCGACCTGGGCTGGGAGAGCGGCGGTAGCGTCGCCTTGGGGGGCTTATGGACCGGGCAGGTCTGGAGCGAGGCGGACTCCTGGAGCGGGGACGTCGCTCTCTGCGCCGATCCCTGCTCCTGCTACGAGATATTCTCCTCTGATTCCTTGGAGAGTCTGGTGATCGCCTGCCCCGCTCAGCATCTCGCCGGCTATCTCGCCGGGGAGACTGACTCCTGCTCCTGCTCCGCCTCTTCGCCCCTCCATCCCAACGCTCAGGAGAGGGCGATCGAGGAGCCATCGCACAATCAGTATTGTAGCATCCCGATTCACATGCAGTGGACATGCATGCGCACATGTCTCTTTCAAGTGAATTCACAAGCTGCCGGCAGTGCCACGCTGGCAAGCCCCGAGATCACTTCTGTTGTAGCTCCCCAAGCATGCAATTACATCGGACCCATCACCTGGCCAGCAATCATTGTGCGAACTTCCAAGATGTATGGGTGCCTTGCGGATTAGAGGGTTGGATACCCAATCTCGCACATGTTGGACCAGCTTCTGGCTCGACAGACGGCGACGTGCGCGCACGAGGTGGGGCTGGCTGGTGGCTGAGAGCAGGGCTTGACCATGTGCATATGATGTTGATAGGATCACATCGCTGCGGTCGGCTGGGAGCAAGCTGCGGGGGCATCCGCTCACCTCCCTGCAGGGCCACCTCTCAGCCAGCGTGCTCCAGGAGGCCATCCACCTGGTGGATGTGCGCCAAGAGGAGGTGCGGGTCGCAATTGAAGCCAGGATCCAGCTGATTTGTCCTTCGATGGCTTTGTGGGGTGGCCTGTGAGACTGATTTCGTCCTTCCCCGATGACTGCTGCTGCTCCTGACCCTGGAAATGGGTACCTCAGCGCTGGCCCCCCTCACAACCCCCACTCCCTCCCTCTCAAAATCAGGTGCTGGTGACACTGTTTGCTGGCGTGGCGGAGCGGTATGCATCGCCCTCAGAGGACTGGCCCCCGCCCGCCGAGGAGGCTGCGCACTGCGAAACTTTGGCGTCCATCCCGCCGGGCGCTGACGCCGCCCTGGGCGACCTCGTTGCCCAGGCCCAGGCCCTGGCCGGCCTGTGTTGCACCACGCATGCCGTGCAGAGCAGGCTGGAGGCCCTGCGGGCGGCCGCCGCGGCCGCATCCAGGCTGGCCGACTTCGACGCTGCGCGGTCGGCCGCCCGGCTAGAGGCCGCGGCCGACCTGGCGCTGGGCTTCGACGCCGGCTCGGACTACCTGGACGAGGCCATGCTGCGCACGCTGCGCGCCCGGCGCCAGGACCTGCACCTCCACCTGCTGCGGGAGGCGGCAGCCGCCGCGGCAGAGCCGGGGCCCGCCGGCTCAGGCGTGTGGGCCGCGCTGCGCACGCTGGGCCTGGTGCCGGAGGCCGTGCGCGGCGCTGCGGCCGCCTTTGCGGAGGCGCGCATTCCCGCGGCCCTCGGCGAGGGCCTGGCCGCCGGCACGGGCGCGGGCGAGGGCCCGCCGTCCGGCCCCGTCCGCCGCTCCGCACGCCTGCTATCCCCCGCGCCTAGCTCAACATCCTCCTGCGCGAGCGGGCTCGGCGCGGGGCCCAGTGTGGAGAGGGCCCTCTACTCCGCCCTGAAGACGCTCTGCCGGGAGGTCAGCTGATGAGGGCTTTGAGATGATGGGGGATTGCGTCTTGTCCTGGGATGCTGTTCCCCTGGCAAGCGGCCACAGATGGATGCGGAGCGGGACTTGCATTGCACGTGCGATTCCTGGGCAGATCCTCTGCCCTCATGCCCACCACCATGAAACACGCAGACGATGGAAGGGGATGCCGAGCTGGTGGCTGCCCTGGGAGAGAGCCTGTGGCCTCAGCTTGCAGAGGCCTACATCCAGGCCTGCCTCAGCCCCCTGCTGCCAACCCCTGATTGCGCTGAGGCAGAGGTGTGCAGAGGGGGTTGCACATGGGTGGTGCTCTTGGGGGATACCACACGACCAGCCAACGTCATGACCTCAGGGTCATTGGGACACACCTGCTGCTTGCTAATGCATTGTGGCATGCCTGCATCCCTTGTCGATTCTCAAAGCGATGTGCTGGGGATCCTCTGAGGTCTTGAACCCCCCTGCATCCCTCTTTCTACCAGGACCTGGCCTCGTTTGGGCGGGCCGCGGGAAGGGGCAGCAAGCTGGAGGCCAAGGCACGCACGCTGGGCCTGCTGGGCCCAGATACGGCGTCAGAGGGGCCCATCGCTGCGTACATCCGCGAGGCCATGGCGCAGTATGCCCTCAGCAGCCGGACCAGGTGGAGTGGTGGGGAGGGATTGCATGGAGGAGTGATAGGGGTTACAGAGCCCAGGAGCTGGGGGAGGGGGGGGGGGATGATATCTTCCACCCATATACCAATCTCGCCAGCCAAAATCCACCCTCATCAGGCTGGTGGAGGCCTCGGCGGCGTGCCTGGCGTCCTGGGACTCGCGCGACACGCGCCTGGTCAGCCTGGCGCGGCCCGGGTCGGAGGACGGCGCGCCGCCGCCGGCAGACCAGCCCAGCCTCCTGGTCAGCGCGGCAACGGCGCGGCTGCTGGCGCTGGCGCGTGCCGCGCTGGCCTCCGCCTGTGAGGCCGGGTCGCCCGTCTTGGCCCAGGCCGTGGCGGCGGGGGTGGTGGAGGTGGCGGCGCTGATCGCCGAGTTTCGGCCGCTCGAAGGCGCTGACCAGCTGCTGCTGCCCTGGCCGGCGGCGCTGCGGCACAACGACTGCCAGGCGGCCTACCAGCTGCTGGCGGGGCTGCCGCACGACCTCGCGCCGCGGCTGCAGGCACTGGTGCACCGAGCGGTGAACTTTGCCAATCCGGGCGCGCGCGTGCGGCGTGCAGGGTCCGACGCACTGGCGGCCATGCTGGCCGCGCAGCGCGCCGAGCTGGGCGCGCTGGCGGCCGACGCCGGCGTGGGCGTGGGCGGCGGCCTGGACGGCGCGGGCGGGCTGGCGGCGCGCCGCGGCGCGGCGCAGCTGCTGGCCGGCTTCCGACGGCTGGGCGTCACGCTTCGCGAGGCGCTGGACCTCAGCGTGCGGCTGGAGGTCGTGGCCGCGCTGGTTAACGCCGTCTGCGACCAACTCCTGGGTGGGTTGAAGGTTTGGCCCCGGGGGGGGGGGGGGGGGATGGGCGGGTGTGGGAGGGGGGGGATGTCTCCGAGTTGTCAGTGTGCTGCTGTACCCCAGCAGCTGTGAGCAGTGGGGACTCCGGGGTGTTGAAGCGTGCAGGGGCTTGCCTGTGGCCCTGCCGTGTGCCGTTGTCTGCACTCCCGCCCTCCCCCCCTGCCCATCCACACCCATCTCTCACCCTCGATACCCCTAGCAGAGGCCATCCTGGGGGCTAGGGACATCTCGGTGGACGAGTCGGAGCGGCTGCCACGCCTGTTCAGGGAGTTCACCGATGGCGTGCTGGATGCAGGGCTGGGGCTGGGGAGGAAAGCGCGGGAGGACGCGGACGTGAGCGCGCGGGAGGCCCTGCAGCACGCCACGCCGTCCCTGGCCAAGCTCAAGGCGAGGAGGGCAGGAAATGGGGAACGTGGCCCGTGATGGGTGCTGGGGAAAGACATGGGTGGTCGGGTGGCTGGAGCAGCCATGTTCAACCGTTGGCTTCCTTGCCTGTCCTTGGCATCGCACTCGGGTCCGGCACCTGTCACCAGGGCATACATGTTCATCACTGCAGCCTCCTTGTCGACATCCCCACTCATGCATTCCTCCCACAGGAGGTCCTGGAGCTGGTGGAGATCAGGCTGACCGAGATCGCGGCGCGGTGGGAGGATGGCAGGCTCAGCGCCCTGGGGCTGGCCCCGCAGGAGGTGGCGCACCTGGTACGGGCCCTGTTCGAGGACACGCCGGCTCGCAGGGCGCTCTTGACGGCCCTGGGCAAGGCCCGGTAGCTGGGGCTGGTGGTGCGGTGTGTGCACCCACCAACGCTGTGAACCTAGTGAGGGGGGGGAGAAAGTTGTGAAATCACAGGATTGTGGGCATGACTCATTCTGGGAAGATGTTCATGAGCAGGGATCGTGGTCCTATGTATCCTCACTGCGCCCCGGCTCCGGCGACAGCGTTGCCGGAGCGTGGGAGATTCGCAGCGCCGACGCCTCGAGCAGGTCGCTCGCCCCGGGTTACCACGCTCACCCCTCCTCGAGGCTATACGATGCACGCCCGGAATAGAAATGCCACCACCCACTTGAAGAGACCACCAGCTCCGGCAAAGGCTTCGAGGAAGGACTGCAGTCAAGGAAACACATCTTGTCCCTGGTCGAGACCCCGGAACCGTCCTGCAACCACCCCAACAAGTCCCGACGCACTCGGCCTCGCAGCCCCCGGCGCGTTTCCGAAAGGTTTGTAATGCTTTCATGTGGGCAATTTCAGCAAGAAGGATCCTCCACTCCTCGTGCTGCGGCCCCGATCAGGTCCCACTCTCCATGTCCGACGCCTTCCATGCCACTTGCAGGGGTGACCACAGGCCCAATGCCGCCCAGGGGAAGGTGCTTCCTGGTCACGCTTCTGGTGCTGGCCACAGCCCTCGGCGCACGAGCCTCCATTGCCGCCCCCGTGATCACCAATGTCGAGCCCGGGAACCAGCAGGTCACCCTCAGCTACCAGCGCATCCCGACCAGCGTACCCCCCGTCCGGCAGATGTCGATCGCGTGCACCGACACCCGCATCACCCCCGACCCACAGAACGCAGAACGTGAGTAGGGCCTCGTGTACTGAGCGCCCGGGCTCGGCGCCGTACCATGTGTGACGGAGGAATGCAAAGGGTGGGTGGGGGTGGGGGATCATTCCCAGCCGGGCCATGCTGACATGTTTCCCAAGCTCCGCCCAACACACAGAGCAAGTCTCGGTGCTGCCCAACGCCACCTCCGTGACCATCACCGGTCTGACCAACGGCATCTACTACACCTGCACACTCAAGGCTAGGGCCTGGACCTCCAACAGCCTGTTTGCGCCCGTGACCCAGTCCCCCACCTCCGAGTCCTCCCCCGCCTTCATGCCCACGGGTAGGGATAGGGGGTCCCGGTGGGGATGAGCCTTACTAGACCTGCTGACTACTTCCCAGACAGCCCGTGTTATGTTTCCCTGGTCTGCGCTCCTTGCACAAGGGGGGAAGCCATGCTTGACGTGCCTCAGCGCCATTCACTCTTCTTTGCTGAAAAGCATCCCTGGCTCACCACCAACCCCCCACACCCCAACCCACGCAGCATCAGCAAAGGCTCCACCAAAGACCTCACCATCCCTCCCACCCCGGTCCCTCCGTGCGTTGCGCCTCTTGGATGCATGGAGCGCGGTCTACCTGCATGCACCTGTGCCGCGCCGTGCCTTCTGCTGCTCATCCCAGTCACTGAACGATCTCCCTCCCCTCCCAACCCACAGCCGCGCCCATCAACATCGACCTGGAGCCGGGCCAAGATGGCACCTCCATCACGGTCAGGTTTGACCCGCCCAAGGACGGCGCCGCCGCCATCTCCTACTACGTCGTGGCCTGCGCCCCGACTGCGGCCAACTCTGGCGCCGTCAGCCCCGCCAGCCGTGAGTTGCTGAAGGACGGGCAATTCATGCAGCGGGAGGGGCCAGGCCGGGCGCGGGCATGTTCAAAGGCCAGAGAGGGGGCTGGTCAACACAGGCACCCTGCCCTTTCTCAAAGCCCATGTATCATCTCCCCTCCGCCCGCCATCCACCCATCCCAACACACGCGTCCCACCCCCCATCCCCATTCCAGGAGTGGTGCCCGCCTCCAATGCCACCCTGGCGTCTGAGGTCAAGGGTCTGACCACGGCCGTGGAGTACAAGTGCGGGGTGCAGGCGCGGAGTTCCACCTCTAGCAGCTCCACCGCATCAGCCTCCGTGGTCACTGGCACCACCAGTGCGTTTCCAGCAGGGTTCCTGGGCGTATGTCGGGGTGACTGGGGCCACTGCCCTGGAATACGGCCGTCAGGGTGCCTCCCCCCGGCGTGGCTGGCGATGGGCTGGGGCAGGCGCGCGTCTGCCGCTCACCCCTTTCTGCCGGGCCCGCCGTTGCCTGCTCGACCCCACCGATGCATTCAGGAGATCCTACGTACATTCCCCCTTTCCCCCAGACACGCCGCGCATCACCGGGACCCGGGTGTCTGGCAACACCGTCACGCTGACCTTCACGGCGCCCACAAACCCCAACCTGGGACCCGTGGCCTCCTACGCGCTCTCTTGCCTCCCCGAGGGCAGCGTGTCGGCGATGAGTGGCCCCGCCGACAGCACAGCAAGTGAGCGCCGAGGGTGAAGGGGGAGGGGCCATCCCCTGCACCGCCTACTGCCCTCCCTGCTAGCAGGGCATCTGGCTGCCACATGGAGGGTCAATGTGAGGTGCTCTGTCCAAAAACGCCTGTGTTGCCACAGATGTTCCGCCAACATCGATATTAAGCTTTGCCACCCCACTCCCACCCTGCAACCCGCTTTCACAGACGAGCTCAGCGGTAGTGTGGGCTCCGCATCGGTGTCGGGCCTGACCCCGGGCAAGTACATCTGCACACTGACCGCCACCATGTCCAACAGCAAGAAGTACTCCGCCTCCACGAGCGTCACCGTGCCGTCTCTGGCCTCCGCCACGCCCGCCCCTGCCCCGACCGAGTGGTTGGTCTCCCCCAGCCCCAGCGCAGCCCCCTCCCCAGCCCCTGTCCCCAGCCCATCTCCCGTATCCAGGCCTCCCCCCCCCAGCCCCAGCCCAGCTCCCGTGCCCTCCCCAAGCCCTGCTCCATCCCCGGCCAGCCCAGTGGTGAGGCAATGCTGGATCTGGGGAGGTTGCTGGGGGCTAATGACCCCCCTTCCTGCCACAAGCTCCTGTGTGTCGCGACCTGGGCAGACCCCTCAAGCTCACGGCTAATTCACCTCGCCCCTTGCTCCCCATTTGCGCAGGCAAGTCCGACCGTCTCTGCCGCAAGCACCAGCCCCAGCCCCGTCGCCCCCGCGGCGGAGTCACCCGCCAGTGGGGCGTATGGTGTCACTGGAGCAGTGGCTACCCTGGTCATGGCTGGCTTCTCTGCCCTGCTCCTCATCCTGTAGACCCCCCCGCCCGTTTATTTCATTCACCCAGTACTGTCGCTGCGTTGTCCTGGAATGTAAGATGTATGGCAAGAGGAGGGCGTGAGGGCGGAATGCTGGGACCATGTCATGCGATCTTGCATTAAGGATAATCTCATAATAAGCCTGGCTTGGCGGCGCCGACGTAACGCTCAGGTGGCTGGGGGTACACCTTCGTCTTGCTTCCCGAAGGTGCTGAACTACTTCGTCTGAAGCCCTTTCCATCCGGGATCCAATATGACACCCGACCTTACTGGGTGGCAGAACCCGCGACCCTCTCCAGGTTTAAACTTCGCAATCCCAGCGGTTTCGGCGTCTCTTCTCGAGTTCGATATCTCACGATCGAACCTTAGGACACGTGCTGCGCGACTGCAGGGCGCGCGAGGGTGAGGGACGTGTGCTGCGATGCAGCCCTCGACGGATCGCCCGGAGAGGGTACCCCTGAGCACCCGGTTGGGACCATCCGGACGCGGACCGCCGAGGTAGCAGCCGGAAAGAGTCTTACGACTCCAGGCCAGATCCATCGGGACACAATTTGCATTTCCAAGGACATTGACGCACCATGAGAGGTGGGTTTTGCTGTTGTTACCGTGAGAGTCGAGGAGTGCCCTGATCGGGTTGTGGGTGTGGCACTGGGTGGAGACGGCATATTCTGCAGCACACTTTGAGCACGCACAGACGCTGCGAGAAGGGTGTCTAGCCATTGCTTTATGTTCATCAGGGCATTATATTGTATTACATCCATGCATAACATGCTTATTGTCCCCGTAATCATCTCATGCCCCCCCTCCGAACCCTTGCAGACAACAAGCCGATGGCCCTCGCGGCCGCCGCGATGCTGCTGCTGGCCCTCAGTGGGACGGCCATGGCGCAGCAGACGGGCATCTCCGCCCCCAGCATCACCACCGTGAAGCCCCTGAGTGGTGGAGCGGACATTTCCTTCACCCCCGGCACCGCCGCAGACGGCATCACCATCACCAACTACGTCATCGACTGCATCCAGGGAGCCGGCACCATCGACCAGCAGACCTCCACAAGTGAGCAGGGAGATGCTTGGTTGCATTGGAGTTCATGATCGAGGGGGGAGCATGCTGCTCCATCGAAGAGGTCAGTCCTGCCGCCTCCGAACCGGCATCGCTCCATGCTCATGCGACCCCATGCCTTTCCCCGCAGTGGTCGTTCCCGCCAGCACCTCCAACAAGGTCACCGTGTCCAGCCTGAGCAACGGCCTTGCCACCACCTGCACCCTCACCGCCCGCGGATCCAACCCCAGCGGCGGCATCCTGAACCGGGTGGTGGACTCGGCCGAGTCTGCTGCCTCCCCGCTGTTCACCCCCGGCTCCAAGCAGACCGTGTCCGCAGGTGAGGTGTTGGCCGAGCAGGTTGTCTCATAATGGGGGTGTTTTGTAGTTTTAAAGGCACGCCATTATTACCCGATGAAGCTGGCCATGCTCTCATACTTGCTTGCTCGCCATTCTCATGCTCCCACCTCCTCCTTGCAGGCGAGTCAGCCCCCGCTGAGACCACCCCCGAGGCCGTCGCCGTGCCCGAGCCTGCCAGCCCCAGCCCCAGCCCCCAGGCGAGCCCCAGCCCCAGCCCCCGCGCCAGCCCCAGCCCTGCTGCCTCCGCTCTTGATGCCCCCTCCATCACCGGAGTGAAGGCCACTGACGGCGGCGCAGACATCACCTTCACCCCCGGCTCCAGCGATGCCAGCTCCTACACCATTGACTGCGTGCAGGCCGCCGGCACTGTCGACCAGCAGGAGGTGTCCCAGACAGTGGCTGCCCCCAGCAACGGCAACAAGGTCTCCGTCACCGGCCTTGCCAACGGCCTGCGCACGACCTGCACCCTCACCGGCCGCGCCGCCAACCCCAGCGGCGGCCTTTTCAGCCGCAATGTCGAGTCCGCACCCTCCGCGGCGTCCCAGAGCTTCCTGCCCAGCGCCAGCGCAGGGTCTTCCACTGTCGCCCCCCAAGCCGCCACCACGGCCCCTGCCGAGATCGACGTCGCAACGAGCCCCAGCCCCAGCCCCAGCCCCAGCCCCAGCCCCAGCCCGGTGCCCAGCCCCAGCCCCAGCCCCAGCGCTGCAGTCACCAGCGTGCAGGCGCCCACCATCACCAGCGTCAAGGCCACCGATGGCGGCGCGGACCTGCGCTTCACCTCCGACGCCGAGGATGTCGCCGCTTTTGTCATCGACTGCGTGCAGGCCGCCGGCACCGTCGACCAGCAGGAGGTGTCCCTGACGGTTCCTGCCCCCAGCAACGGCGACAAGGTCTCCGTCACCGGCCTCGCCAACGGCCTGCGCACGACCTGCACCCTGACCGCCCGCGCCACCAACCCCGACGGCGGCCTGCTCGACCGCTTCATCGACTCTGCGCCGTCTGAGGAGTCCCAGAGCTTCGTCCCCGCCGCCATGGCGGGAGAGTCCTCCACCCCCGCCGCCGTCACCGCCGTCAGCCCCAGCCCAGCCGCCGCCAGCCCCAGCCCGGTCGCCGCCAGCCCCAGCCCCGTCGCCGCCAGCCCCAGCCCCAGCCCCGTCGCCGCCCCTGCCGCGAGCTCTGTGGCCGCCCCCGTCATCCGCTCCGTCAAGCCCGTCGACAGCGGCGCCGAGATCACCTTTGCGCCCTCCACCACCGCCGGCGTCAGCGCCTACGTCGTGGACTGCATCCAGGCTGCCGGCACCGTCGACCAGCAGGAGGTGTCCCAGACCTTCAGCCCCTCCTCCTCCAACAAGGCGGTGGTCAACAGCCTGTCCAACGGCCTCTCCACCACCTGCACCACTCACCGCCCGCGCCCCTAACCCCAATGGCGGCTTCCTGAGCCGCAGCATCGACTCCGCCCCCTCCGCTCCCTCCCCCACCTTTGTCCCCCGCGCCGGCTCCTCCCAGGCCATCGCCGGCAGCCAGGATGCCGTGGAGCCCGCCTCCCCGGCCGCCAGCCCCAGCCCCGCTGCCCGCCCCAGCCCCGCTGCCCGTTCCAGCCCCGCCGTCAGCCCCAGCCCCGCCGCCACTGCCGCCGCCGCCGCCGCAACCGCCCTGGCCAGCCCCGTTGTCGCCCGTCTGACCACCACCGACGGCGGAGTGGACATCTACGTCGCCACGCCCGCCAGTGCCACCATTCCCGCCACCTCCGCCTACGTCGTGGACTGCATCCAGGCCGCTGGCACGGTGAACCAGCAGGAGGTGTCCAACACCCTCCCTGCCACCGCCAACGGCAAGCTTTCCATGACCGGCCTCGCCAACGGCCTCCCCACCACCTGCACCCTCACTGCCCGCGCCTCCAACCCCAACGGCGGCTTCCTGACTCCCTACGTCACCTCCAAGCCCTCCGCCTCCACCCCGGCCTTTACCCCCGGCGTCGCTCGCACCATCACCGGTGAGGTTTGGGGTTGTCTGCAGGGAGCTTTGGGGCTTGTGTCCTGTCAAGAGTGACCGGCCTGCTGTCCACCGACTGCCTCCCTGCCTGGACCCTCAGCTCCCCCTCCCCCTCCCCCCCTCCCTTGTGCAGTGCCAACCCCCCAGCCCCCCCGCCCAGCCCTCCCCCAAGGCGTCCCCCAAGGCTTCGCCAGCAGCCGTCGCCGCGGCCAGCATCTCCCCG